CAGCTATATACAGAGTGGACCACCACTCTCTGACAACTTAAATAACTTTTGATCCAGTTTATATTTTTAGTTGATTTTTTTTTTAAATAATAGTTATACGTTAGGTCTATAGCTATATCTCAATAATTAATTTTTTTATATTTTATTAAAAATATTAATTATTTTTAAATTTAAAATAAAATGTAAAAAAAAAATCTACGCTATCTTTTCATGATTACTGTGTATACATATGATGATAGTGTGTATACATTACAAACTTGGCATAAATACCATGATAAGAAATTAGATAAGGCAATTATTACTTATCACTCTCATTCAAAAGTATATTGAAAAGATAGCGTTTTCTTCTGTCCTTTTCTCAATACGTATTTCAATGTTTAATACCGTAAAATAGTACATGAAAATTCAAATTTTCACAAACTTCAAAACGCTACAGAATATTTACTACTGAATATTAATAAGATATTTTTTTACTAAAATTTTTCTTAAATTCTACTCTACAAAATAGCTATCTTAGATTTTTTTTTTACATTTTATTTAAAATTTAAAAATAATTAATATTTTTAATAAAATATAAAAAAATTAATTATTGAGATATAGCTATAGACCTAACGTATAACTATTATTTAAAAAAAAAATCAACTAAAAATATTAACTGGATCAAAAGTTATTTAAGTTGTCAGTGAGTGGTGGGCCACCCTGTATAATAGAACAAGAAAAAAACGATTTTCAGGAAAAATTACTTAAAGTGCTCGGATTTTCAATTTTTTTTTTCAACGAAAGTACTCGGTTACGAGAGTCTGAGAAAATTATTGGCGAAGGTCGGAGAATGTCTACCGTTCGCTCGTGAGCGTTTTAAAATTTCGACCATTTTCGAAATTTAAGATCTTATGATTTGAAATTTTCACCAGATCCGCTCAATGACATTTCTGAGATATCGTAACGTATAACTATTATTTAAAAAAAAAATCAACTAAAAATATATACTGGATCAAAAGTTATTTAAGTTGTCGGTGAGTGGTGGGCCACTCTGTATATGATCATATAGTAATTAAGAAAATGTTTTTATTGGAAGTTGTATAACATAAATCAAAGATAATTATGCAATAATACCGATTTTAAACACATCAGAAAAAGATGTTTCGATTTCTATAAATAATATTAAATTTGATTTTTTACCACAAGATTTCGTGCTCATAAATAATATGTAAATACTATCAATTGTAATAATGTTAATACTAATAATAATAATAGATTAACTCTTTTAAATCAAAACCTTAAATTAAATCATTTAAACGGTAAAGAAAAGTCGTCTATTAATAATTTATGCAATCAATTGATATATTAATTTTACCCGGTGATAAATTATCTTATACTAATCAAATTGTACATAAAATAATTATTCCTAATGCTCATCCAATTAATATAAAACAATACAGATACCCTAAGTGTCATAACGAGGAAGTTGATGAACAATTAAAAAATCTTTTAAAGCAAGGTAGCATTGAAAAGTCAAATAGTCCATGGAACTCGTCTAGAATTCTAAATTTTATAAAGGAATATATATTTTATGTTTTGTCTGTTAATAAATATATGTTTGATTTGTTTTATACTTTTTCTTTGTTTGTTTTGTATAGCAGTGGTAATTACAATAAAATTCAAAAATCATGTAATTCTGTATATAATAGAACTTCATATTAAATTAGCAAGAAATCAGTAATTATAAATAAGTTTGTTTTTTTTAAGCCAGTAGTGACCATTTGGCCCTTATGTATCATTTAATAAGGGGGTGTTACTAACCCCTGGAATACTTTATTATTATGTCTTGTTTTTTTTTCATGTGTTAATAATTTTATTAGTTTTAAGAGTGTCAGGTTATTAGAGATGTCTTCGGTCTAGTATAATGGAATCTGCTGACTTGGCCCCCTCGACCTAAGCCAGCCGCCCGAATTATATGCCACCAACACGGCAAAATAGTCTGAATTCGACAGAGCATTAGTCAGACACATACGTGTGTTAGCAGAGTCTTTGATTTCGCAAACATTATATTAATAAGTTAATCTATGTAATTATTATGAAAATTAGTATTAATAGTTATTTTATTGAATTCTAATTAAAAGTTTAAATAAAGCATCTGAAAATCAAGTGTCGTCTATAATAATAATAATATAATAATATTTAGGATAGCAAAAAATTCAATTTAATCCCGTTTAATTCTAGCACTTTTGATAAATAATTGAATTTATATTGGATTTTTTTAAACCACGTACAGCGTATAAAGATAAAACATTTTTATGAAATATTGAATTTAGCTTAATTAATATTTCATTAATCGAAAAAAGCTAAGTTATTTCAAGGGTTAACTGAATTAGTTGAGTTAAAAATGTAAATAGAAAAATAAATAATTAATTTTATAGAATTGTTTAAAAAATATTTACTTTTTAGCAATTTAATAATTAAAAGAAATGGAGACATAGAGGGTCAATTGAGTTACTCTTACTATTACTAAAAATTTGTCTATTTTCCCGTTTCTAATGCCTATTAAGCTGATACTATATCAAATTCATTATTACTTCACCAAATATATAATAGAGATACTACGAAATATTACAATTCATTAGGAGCGGATCTAAAAGAATTTTTTAAGAGGGGAATATACCTTTTTCTGTTAAAATGAATATTAACTTTTTTTAAAAAGAACTTTATTTTAGAAAATAATTGTTACTTTAAAAAGAGGATATATCTCCTATGTATCTGCGCCTACTCTACAGTTGTCATTTTAAAACAATAAACTGTAGAATATCTTATTAGAAAGAAATCTTGTTGGATGAATTTTATTTTAATAAATTTAAACAAACCCTAGGTATGCTCAAAATAGTTTAAAATAGGGGTTAAAATAGGAGAGGTTAAACCTCTTTCCTCCCCACCTTTCCACTCCCATAAATTAAAACATATATTTATTGTTATATAAATATATACTATTTTTAAAAAAAGCAAAAAGTTAAGTTCTAAATTTTTTTTTGTTTTCATTGTGTTCATAGGTATAACTGAAATAAAATTTTTCGGTGTACATTTTTCCTACTTTGTAAAATACATTACATAGCATTATTACATACATTACATTATTTTACAAAGGTAAAATTTTTTTTTAACTTTATACAATATATGATATTTTGACGTATCATTTAAAAATAAAACAGTCCAGTAGGAGCTGAGAAAAAGTGAAGACAGATAAAATAATCACATTTTAGTAAAATTATACCTTCTTAGTTTCACTAAAGCCAAAAATAATTAAAAATGAAATAAGTTTTTCTAAAATAGTTTTGGATTTTGATCATTAATATTTTGAACCAAAATGTCATTGTTAACTTATTTTTCAAGGCTTTTTAAATTTTAAGATAATTAAAAAAATATAAGACACTAAATGTCTTTGTAAATCTTACCAGATGGACTCTTTAATAAATGATGAATTGTGATGTTCTTTGTCATTGTCAATTTATACATATATATATATGACAATGTATTAATTTAATTTAAATAAATAAAACACTAAACTGAATTTATTTCAATGGTTTGAGTTTGCTATTTTAACAAATATGAAAGACTTATATTTACAATTGACTAGAGTATGAGGATTTTACATTATTAACTTTAATATAAGATAATGAGTGAATAATAAGCCGATGTGCTCTTTTATATGAAACTCGTGGACAAGGAGATGAAGAGGCTAGTTTTCTTAAAACAATTTTATTCTATCATCTATTCGGGGCCACAAATATGCTTATGTTAAAAATATTTACATCCTTAAATATATTGCTCCAAGTGAGTAATATATTTAAAAAAGTAATTAAAATTATTTATAAGGTCAAGAAAAATTATTGTAGAAATTTCTCAAAACTTCTATTTTAATTCATTACAATAATCAAAAAATCATAATTAAAAAAAAAATTAATTTAACTTATGTCATGTAATTAACAATATGATAAAGATAAATTTTTAGTACAATTCCTGCCTGTTCATCATAATATATATTTTTATAATAAAGTGGAGAGTATGATTCAATAAGAGAATTTTTTACTATACCTCCTGCTTATTAACACATTCTAGTTAAGCAACTATTCTTATATAGTAAATTAAACACAAACATGGTTCTACAAAAAATTAAAGGGTAAACATTTAAACACTAGATGATATAGATAAAGGTGAATAATTACAGAAGAATTTAAAATAAGAATGTACGTTTTATTATAATTTTACATTATTATAAATATATAAGTATTAAATATTAGTGATCATTGGATTAAATAAAATAACTTTACAAAGACAAATTTGTTCTAAAAATAGTTAAGAAATATTTATTATATAACTGAACTAAAAAATTATTAGAACATTAAATGACCTACTCATTTTCATGCAACACTTCATTGTTATGTAACAATTCATCAATTTCTTGTTTAGCTTTCAGCCTTTGTTCAATAGGAACAAATAGAATTTCGTATGTCCTGTATGCAAATAATCCTGTTGACACAATAGTTAGACCTACTGCTAATGTTACAATACTCTTGTGAAGTTTGTCAAATACTCTATTTGTAAGTCTGGACATAATCAAAAATTATAAATTTATTGTTTAAAATTTGAAAATGATAAACGAGTTTACTTTGAGGTAAGATCTAAAGATTTTTGGCAAAAAAATATTGAATAACTATCAATTAAAATAATAAAATCATTAATTAAAATTGTAGCGAATCCCAGACCAATAAAAATTATTGATAATAATTTGGTTAAAATGATAATTTATTAATTATTCATTCTCATAGATAATAATGAATTTTTTATTATCTATGACCGTATTTAACAAAATGAAGTTAGCTGTTCTATTTGATAAGTCATTATATATGATGTTAGAAACAATAAATTTTAGACAACTGTTGCGCAGGAATATATTAAATGAAATATATTGGAATATTAAAGAAAATCATTAAAACATAAATTGGTAATACTGAAATGATTGATGGTGTCAAACAGTTGAGCAGTAGTGTGTAAAATCGTAAGTAATTAGTCCAGGTTTATGGTGTTGTTTATAGTTAAGTCTATAAATATAATTTAGTTAAAATGGATTACTAGTTATTGAAGATACCGATTATAAACACTGGAAGTATTAATATAACTCATAATTTTGTTTTTCTGTGATTTAAAGTATGCAGTTTTGTTGAGATCAAAGGATAATAATAATGACTGTTTAATTGAATGGCTAGTTTCGATATTTAAATACGATTTTTTATAATAAGTATGCGAAAACCTAAAGAAAAAAATATATAAATAAAATAAGAATTTAACTTTTATTAACTATCTAGTGGCTTTGATAACACCATGGGAAAAGTTACAACATCATAACTTGCAAGGTGAAGATTTTCAACGTATTTATGGCGATCATTTTCCTATTGAAGTTCGTCAGTTATTATCACCTTGGTTTGAAACAAAAGTTTGGTATGAAATAAATTTATTTTCATTTGCTCAGTAAAACTTTCCTCCTGATGATTTTTATTTTGTATTATCTATTTTTTAATTTTTAATTTGATTACATGTAAAAAGTGTAATATTATATTAAAAAAAAAATTATTTTAATTGTTCAAATAACGTGATTATAATTTACCTTTAGGAAAATATGAAACCAATCCAATATAGTTATAAATTTGAAGAAAGTTTAGGGATGCAATAGCTATAAAGTAACTTAATTTTTGTTATTGCGTAGGAAAATAAATATTTAATACGAAATGATAAGTTGCTAGTAATCTGAAAGGTTATCCTATCTAAAGGTCATTTTTATTTATGTTTTGGGTGAAACAAAAAATGTTGAGTGTTCAGTGCTGCTCTTCTACTTTTCATTATAAGCCCATGCTAATTGAGTCTTTTCATGTAATCTAAGTAGTTTTATTTTTTTTTTTAGATTTATTAAAAATATTTTTTAATTACAATTGAATTAAATAATGTTTTTTTTAGGGCTGATATTGATCCTGATAATTTAGAGCATGAAAACTACATTAAAGATTTATTTGTTTCATTTGTGAATGAAATATTAGCTAAAGCAAATTCTTCTAGTACAAATGATTTGTTTGTAAATAAATTGAAGTTGATTGAAACTGCAAAGCTATATAGGGTAAGTTTGTTAGTTTGCTCGGAAAAAATTATAAAAGAAACATTTGGAGCAATATACGTGAAATTTTGGGAAAATTTAATAAATAAAGTTTAAAAATTAGAATTAATATATTCCCAAGCAATATAAAAATGTTTGAGAAATTTTTTAAAAATAGTACTACATATCATTAGTTGGAAGACTGTTTGTATCTTTAAATTCAATTATTTTAAAATTAATGTTTCGTTAATCCATTCTGCTCTATATGCCTTATATAATCTGAACAATATATATTGTCATGAGAAATGAATAAGTAATTAAAAAATTTGATTTTGAAATTATGGAATATTCATATAAAAATATAGATCTATTCAAATTATCATAAGCAAAATATCAAAATGTTGGCTAAAATTGAAATAATATTATTTTAATTGGTAAAAGAGCTTATTATTTATAACTAAATTATTAGAATGAGTATATTTTTGTCTTTAATGCTCATTTATTTTTAAAAATATATTTTCTATCAAACATGAATTATTGAAATAATTAACTATTTAATGTAGGCATTTTTAAAATTTAAATGTTTTGAATCTATATATTTCTTTTTTAAAGAGTTTTCTTAACCATATTCAATCTTGAAAATATTGACTTAGTCTGAAAAAATAATTTTAAACTCTTAAAAAATGATATATTTTTTCTGAAAAATATGCTTTGCTTTCATTTATTTATTTACTAAATTAACGCCCTAAAGGGCAAGAGTACAGTTAATAAAACTTAAACTAGGTATCAATAAAANAATTAACGCCCCAAAGGGCAAGAGTACAGTTAATAAAACTTAAACTAGACATCAATAAATTTATAGCATACAATTAATTATAAAAACAAACAATATAAGTAAAGATTCTTAACTATATAATCGATCTCTTTATTATATCTAAAGAATTAAAAAAGTAGTCCACTTTATGACTAACTTCATTACATTCTAATAACATATAATTGACCGGAGCAAAAAGATTACAGTTCTGTTAGACAGGAGAAACATAAAACATANAGATTATAGTTCTGTTGGACAGAAGAAACATAAAACATCGTTTGAGACCGTAAATGGACTGAAGGAACATTAAAAGGAATAATATCAAGAATTTCTGGACAGTCAATTTTATTATTTAATAAACTATGGATCCAACTAACGTCAAACATTTTCCGCCTCATACTCAGACTGGTTAGACCAATATCTGAAGCTACTACATTTAAATCAACTTCATTAATATCGTATTTTCCTACTTTTACTACTAACATACGTAGAAAACGTTTTTGCAATTTTTCCAGTTTATTAGTAAGATTAGCTTGATATGGTGACCAAATAATTGACCCATATTCGACTATAGAACGCACTAAAGAACAATATAAAACTTTTAAACAAATAGGATTAGAAAACTCCCAGCAATTTCGCTTAAGAAAGCCCAACATCCGTAATGCTTTATTATAAATAAATGAAATGTGTTCAGTAAAAGATAAATCCGAAGAAAGAATTACACCTAAGTCTTCAATATGAGGAACATTTATGAGATTAATACTATTTATATTATATGCATATAGTTCATATGAACGCTTACGACAAAAAGTAATCTGAGCACATTTAGACACATTCAAGCATAAACCATTAACAACACACCAATTATCTTATAGATATTTAATATACCATAATGTGATAAAACATTAAGTCTAGGTCAATCAGAATAACAGTAAAATATTAAATAATTGTAATAATAATAGTTATAAAGATTAGATAGATAAGATCAAATTGATCACATTGTTTCAGTTTTGTAATATATATATATAACAAATGTATGTGTGGTTTATCTTCTATGCTTTATTACACCATTTATTCAACAAACTTTGTGAAAGTTGTTGAGTACCTCCTTAAAAGTTTGTGTTGTAATACATTTATTCTATTAGCTGCATAACTAAGTTCTTGCAATTTGTCAATAGATGGCTCCAGCAGTAAGTGCTGGTAAATTTTGACAATTAAAAAACCCCATGAACGAAGATGAGACATGGTACACAATTTGCTTTGATATATTAGTAATTTTATTTTGACATCATATACTTTTAGATAAGTGAAAGTCTGATTTTGTGCCAAATAATTGCTATTTGTAGAAAGTGTTACTTTTCTTATTTCATTTAAAGAAAATAGCAGCTGAAGCACATTAAGAGTTAAAAAAACTTTATAGAAATTATGCTTTAAATGAAACAATGTGTCATAATTGGTTCCATCCCTTTAAAAATGGTGATTTCAATGTAGAAAACTGTCTGTGTGAAGGAACACCTTTGAAAATGCTGAATTGTTTGATGAGGATCCGTGCCAAATGCAGTAATACATTACTTTAGTATTAGGAGTTACCCGCCAATCTATTTCTAAGAGATAGTATGCATTAAGAATGATTTAAAAGCAAGATTCCTTATGATTTAAAGCTAAGGAATGTTAAGTGTTGTTTTTTCACCTGTGATCAAATGTTCCAGCAAAAAAAAAGAAAGGGTTTTCATCATTATATCGTGACGGATGATGAAAAATGGATTCTTTACTGTAACCCAAAGAAAAGAAAGTCATGAAGACTACCAAAGAATGAATCTATGTTAGCTTAGCCGAATATGTACGCTGCGAAGATTATGCTGTGTATTTGTTGACTGTGTTATTAATTATGAGCTGTTGAAACTATCACTGAGGAATGTTATCAACTTTAATTGATACTACTTAGCGAATCACTGTGAAAAAAATAGCCATAATATGAGCAGAGGCACGCATAAGTGATTCGGCTACATGACAACTCTTGGCTTCATTTAACAAACCCGTTAAAACCTACAATGCTACCAAAACGTTCAAATAGGAAGTCTTACATAACCCACCATATTTCCTAGACATTGTGTTATTCAATTATTACTTGTTTCATTCGATGACACTTGGTCTGATTTCTTAGCAGTTCTGCACGCAAGATCAAAAATTACTTGATTCATGGATAGTTTCAAAAGACTACCATTTCTATCTTAATAGTATTCAAGTTCTGCCAGATAATGGGAATAAGTTATAGCTAGAGTTGGGAATAATTTGAATGATTTGTATGCAACTTTTTTTTCACAATAAAGTTACATTTTTATAAAAAAAAAAAAAAACGGCAAGAAGTTAGTTGCGTACCTAATATAATAAGTGGAAATAGTGCACTCAAATAAATAAATAAAAATAAAACGACGCTTTGAAATTTTTTCCAAAAAAATTTACAAGTTTCAATAAAAATGTCACAATATATATTGAATTACATTTAAAACAGGACTTGAAAACGGTTAGCACTCTTTTCTTTTAATCAAGAAGTGGTTTTAAAATTTTATATGTTTAAAAAAAATAAGGTAATCTGTTACTGATAATTAAAAATTCTTTGAAATTATTAACTGGTATCCAAAAACCAACACTTGATAAATTAGACCAAGATACAAAGATATTATATTTTGTACATAAAATTATTTAAAAAAAGTTCAGTTTTCTGTAATTTTTTAGTTTAGATGCAAAGCTGAGTAGATATTAGTTTTACCTCTGATGTGTTGGGCTGGGTTTTTTTATTTAATTTTTAAAATAAAAAAAAAATTGATTAAAAAACAAACAAAAAAACAGTCATACAAATTCTGATTATTTTTTTATTTACAAATATGATTTTATTAATTATTTTAATTTACTATAAGTTTCATTTTATTTTTATTGCAGGAAAAGTTTTCTCAAAATCCAAAAGAATTGATAAGAATAATTAAAAAATGTTTAGAATCAGAATCATTATTAGCTCAACAAAATAATGTAAGTTATATTGCATTTAATTAATCATTAAATAAAAATATCCATTTTGTTTTATTATTAAAATTATTTCTTAATTGACAATAGATGTGTGATAAATTACTTAACTTCCTCATTATCATAAGAAATCGATATGAACATGGTGAATTGATTAAATATGACTCACATAATATTTATACAAATATATATTATTTTTTTCTTTTCAGAAGTTAATATTTTTAGAAGATAGGATACTTCATGTTAAATTATTATTAGTATACAGTTAGCCATAGGCAAAGGGTGATCATTTTTTTGGATGTGCTAAATTTAACTTTTTCTCCCTCCAATAAATAACATAAATTTTTATATAACAATAACTTTTCTGAAATTCTAGGGGATTTAGCTTCTCAGGCCTTCTCCTAGCTCCTCTTACGGAGTTAGTAAATAGTACTTATGAACATTTAATTTTAATGCAATCTATCGTACTTCATGTAACTGGTTTTTTCGTTATTGTATTCTGTATTAGTATTCATTCTACAAATAAGTAGTTATGACATTTTATACTGCTTTTAAATTTACTGTTATTGTTGTTTACTATGAGTGATTCTATTAAAACAAAATCAAAAAGAATGGTGCAAAAATTTGCTAGATTAGATACACGTCTGTAAAAAAAAATAAAGGTAAAACATTTTAAACTTGTAAGTGCTCTAAAGTATCAATATTAAAATACCCTGGTAAGTACACATTTTAGTTTACTTTATGTAATAATTAGTGATAGGCCTAATCAGTAAATTTGTTTTTAAGTTTATTGTTTGGTATTCGAGGTAGAATATTTGGTTCAAAATATTTGACAATTAAAATTTCATTTATTTATTAAATTATGATAATTATTAAGTATCAACTAGATTTAATAACACATATAGGTATAAATTTCAATATGAAAATGTAGACTATATATAATCTATTTATCATTAATGACTCAAATACTCACAAAATAAATACAATATTAAGAAAAATTCTTGGTTATTTTTTGTTACATATTTTTCCTGATTGGATTTCTTTTTATCATCATCCCTTATATCTTTATATGTTTTTAATTAATTTTAGTTTTGATGTGAAGCTGAGAAAATATTAATTTTACTATGATCTGATTTTTTTTTGTCATTTTTTCTCAGCTATCACCAAACCAATTTCTTTCAACGATCGTCAAAAGATCACAAATCGTATCTAATCAAAGACATTATCCTCAACCAATAGAAAAAATTTCCCTTGTTCCCCGTAAATGGGGGAAATCTCCAAAAAAATTATAAATTTAAAAATTGTTAATTTTTGACATTTTTTCAATTATTTTTATTTAAAACTGCCATAATTTTTTTCAAAAATGAACAAATTCATATAATTTTTTTTTTATATAGATGCTTGATGTCTTTACCTATCATTTGGTATATATTTTTTATAAATCTTACTAGCCCACAGGGGGGTATTTAAAATGACAACTTTTTCATAACTTTTTAAGCTTAACTTTTAAAAGTGTTCTGGAAATACTAACACTTTTATATATACTTTAAATTAAAGCTTATATAATATACTTTAATATGAAAAAGAAAATTTTGAACTTTATTTTATCTTCACGATGTAAATGGCTACCGATTGCTATATTTGTGTGACAATTCTCGATTTTATATTTTTAACTTAATAATACTATAACTTTTTGAAAAGTTTATGGATCAATAAAATTTTTTATGTGAAATAATATTTATATCCCTCCTTCATTTGACAAACTTTATCTTAATCAGGATATAAATAAGGAAATAGGAGATCTTATAGCTTTTGAACTAATCCATGGTTTTTTTAAAATTAAACAAGATCTACAGATTTGTATCTAAGCGTTTTTTATAATAATGATTTTAATCATCACTGTCAGATATCATAACACTTGATCCAACTATGCCACGACCCCATTGTGCTGGGTTTTTTTTTTAATGGCAACACACATATTTAAATAACTTATAAAATAATACATGATATAATTAAGAAAATGACTAGTCAATAAAAACTTTTAACTAGTATTTCAGTTAATATTACAATTTTAAACTATTAACTGGAGATGCACTATTTATATTATTAGACATCTATTAAACACACTTCTTTCATACAAATTTTAAAAATAAATTTATAAAATAGAAAATTTTAATGTAATTTAAAAGTTATTAATATTTTTTAAATTTTTATAAAAGGAGTGTGTTCAATAAATGTCTAATAATATAAATAGTCATACCTGTGCACCTCCAGTTAATAATTAAAAATTATCATAATTTTCCCAAATACTGATTAAAAGTTTTTATCGACTAGTCATTTTCGTAATTATTTCACGGATTATTTTATAAGTTATTTAAATATATGTGTTGCCATTTAAAAAAATTATTAAAATCATATAAAGATATAAGGGACGATGTTAAAAAAAAAAATCAGTAGCTAATAAATTAAAAAGTATATGAAATTAAAAAAATTAAAATATGTATTACATAAATTACTTCCAAATAAGCCAGATACTGAATAGATCTTATACATAATTTGTTTTAGATAATCAGTTACTATTATATTATTTTATGTGTGTTTATTATGACTATAATTATACATGGATTATTTAATTTTGTATAGAACCTATTATTATTATTGAAAAATATAAAAAATATACATCATACATAAATAATAATTTTGTTATTTTTAATTTTGACTATTTTGCTTAGCTATTTATATATATATGTGTATATTAACTTCGATGCGAAGCGGAGAAGGTATTAATTTTACTATGATGTGTTTTTTTTTTTTTTTTTTTTNCGAAGCGGAGAAGGTATTAATTTTACTATGATTTTTTTTTTTTTTTTTTTTTATGTCTGTTGCCACTTTTTTTCAGCTCTCACTGGACTGATTTCTTTCAAAAATACGTCAAAAGATCAAAAATCGTATCTAGTTTAAGACATTACCCTTAAAAATTTTTAATTTTTCCCTGGTTCCCCGCAAATAGGGGAAATATCCAAAAAAATTACAAATTTAAAAATCGGTAAATTTTGTCATTTCTTTCAATTTTTTTTCTTAAAACTTCCATAACTTTTTCAAAAATCAACAAATCAACATAATATTTTTTTATACTAAAACCTTAGATATTTACCTTTTATTTGATATCATTTTTTTGAAAATCTATCACTTAACCTGTTCATTGGGGGGGATTTAAAATAGCAACTTTTTTACAAAAAATAACTTTTTCAACTTAATTTTTGAAAATGTTCCGGAAATACTGCGTCCTTTAAACATATATAAAATTAAAGCTTATTTTATGTACTACAAAATGAAAAAAAAAAATTTGTCCCGACGATCTATCTTCTATACGCAAATGGCTACCATATTGAAAAATATACTATTTTTGTATGATAATTATGGGTTTTGTATTTTATTTTAATAGAAGTTGATGTTGCTTTTGCAATTATCCATCAATTTTTTAAAATTAAACACTATCTACAGATTTGCATCGAAGCGTTTCTTATGATAGTGATTTTAATCACTGTCAGATTAAATCTATACTGGACCCAACTATGCAATGTCTCCACTATGCCGCGACCCCATTGTGCTACCGTTTTTTTTTTATTTATATTTTAACTCATTTTACAATACATTTTTTTTTTCAATTATTTCTATAACCTTTTTTCCAAAATTTTTTAATTTTAAAGTTGTTATCAACAGATAATATTCTTAGATTAGATTAGATTATTTTTTAGTTAGTAAATTATTTAAACATATATGTTTCATTTAAAAACTTAAGTTTGTAAAATTTTAAAACGGAAAACAGGAGGGAGGGTTAGAACCAAATTGTTTTCTGGAAATTAGAAAAATTGTAGGATACTATTATCTTTTGAAAGGAAAAAATTATAATAGGTTTTATACTTTTGAAGTTATTGTCTGAGGTATAATTAATTAATCATCTTGTATATCCTATAATCAAGCTACATACATAATTTAAAAATATGTAATAAAACTTGCTGTAGTTGTATAATTTTTTTAATACTTCAATTTAAAATATAAAATCATACAAACTTGTTTAAAACTGCATACATTATTTTATTTTCTCTGATTTTAAATAAACAAAAAATTTTAATAGTCAATAATGGAGGTAAATACAAAAACTTCTCAAGAAATGGAAAATATTGAAATAATGCAACAGATGGATTTAATTAGCAACCACATAACACATACTAATGAAATCCGCATGAATATACAGTCTGAAATTGATTCATTCAATATTTTATATTCTGAATGTGCTAAATGCACTCGTAAGTAAATTTTATTTACACTTTTGGTCATAACAAAAATTTATAAAAATAAAAATTCCTTTTTAATCATAAAATCCAATATCTGGCAACTTAATTTATAATTCTTTGAATAGCAACAGAGTATTGGTGACATTTTACTTATCAGGAAATATTAAATAATGCCCTTTGCACAAAGTGCCCCTAGTTTAAAAATAATCCTCTGATAGAAGAAGTTTTTTTTTATTAGTCAACTTAAATCTCATGGTCATGATTTATAAGTAATTGTTTTCAATCACATTTTAAGACCAAAATAATGAATATTCAATTTGTATTGTAATACTCTATGGTATAAATGTATATTTATGTATATGGTGTTACATATTTTTTTTAGAACATTTACAACATATAAGAAACCAAAGAATGAGTATCCCTCAAGGACCAGAAATTGAGCGTAAATTAAAACAAGAAAAAGAACTTTATGAAGGACAATTAAAAACTCAATCACTAAGTCTTAACAATGCTCTCTGTGTTTACATTAACAAACTAAATGAATCATTAAATTTACTCAGTCCTGTACAAAGTCATATAATTGACAAAGCATTAATTCAATGGAAGCGTGAACAACAGTTAACTGGAAATGGATATAAGTATATAAAGGATATTGATGTTATTCAAATTTGGTATGTTTATTTTTTAAAACTTAAAATTATATTTTACTTGAGTTAATGTTAAGTGGTGAATGTATGTGTGAATTTATTATAGGTGTGAAAAGTTATGTGATTTAATATGGATTACTCGCTCACAAATAAAAGAAGCTGATAGATTTAGAGTTAACTTGGGTCGTTATTTTGAGTTGCCACAATCGTGTGAGATAATTAATTCGCTTTTAGATTTAACAACGCAACATCTTGCATCATTAGTATCTAGGTATATTAAAAATAATAAAATAGAAGTTTTGTATTGATAATTATTGTTGTCTTATGATAATATCATTTTTAGCACTTTTGTTATTATAACTCAACCTCCACAAGTTTTGAAGACTAATACAAGATTTGTTGCTGAAGTCCGTTTACTCATTGGTGGTAAATTAAATATTCACATGACATCCCCTGTGGTAATTTAAGAAATATATTGATTATAGATATTGCATTAATTAATTAAATATTTCATAGGTTAAAGTTTCTATTGTAAGTGAAACTCAAGCAAATCAAATAATTGGAAGAAATAAACCTGATGGTGAATCTTGTGGAGAAATTTTGAACTGCTCTGGAAAAATGGAATATCAACCAGTGCAAAGACATTTATCAACTAATTTTCGGTGGGTATTTTATGAATATTTCAGAACAAAATATTATCTTATAAATCATAAATTGTTATTGTAGGAGTATGCAGTTGAAAAAAATTAAGCGCACTGAAAAGAAAGGAACAGAATCTGTTATGGATGAAAAATTTTCTATACTATTTTCTTCAAAATTCTACATTGGAAATGAACTTCAATTTGAAGTAAATAGTTTTAATTTTTTATGTTATGATTGATTCTATTTTTATATATATTTAAAAAATAATAATATAATTAAAGTTAGTTATATAATTTTTATATGGTTCTATATCAGGTTTGGAATTTATCTTTACCAGTGGTAGTTATTGTTCATGGTAATCAAGATCCTCATGCATGGGCTACAGTCACTTGGGATAATGCATTTGCTGAACCAGCTCGGGTTCCATTTAGCGTACCTGATAAAGTACCATGGAGGAATGTTGCTGAAGCCTTAAATATGAAGTTTTTTGCGGCAACAGGACGTGGGCTTTCTGAAGAAAGCTTAACCTTTTTAGCTGAAAAAGCTTTTAGGTATATTAGTTAACTATTTATAAATAATTTACTTTATAATATTATATCATACAAAAAACAACTTGGAGGAGTCAATGAAATAAAAATAAAAATTTTACCTGATACCTCAGAATTTGATGAAATTAGGTATGAAGATTGTCCAAAAAGAGATTAAGAAAAATTTATAAATATACATATTTTTCAAATATCATAAATAGTTTAAAAATTATCACTATTTAAAGATCCTAAAATCTGCCAAGAATACATAACCATCATATATTGGAAACACTATAGTTGAGCTAAAAGATATAAGTTGTGTCATTTTACTTAGTTTTTAATCCTTATTCTTTTGATATACAACACAACATTTTAATAAAATATTATAAGTGTAGTATTAATAATGGTTACATTGCTTCGAAAACACGTTTTAACTACTTTTTAGTAATTTTTGTGATTTTAAGTAGTGATGGGCATTTTCAAATATTTTAAAACTATCGAATACTATTCGAATTGTTTTTATACAACCGAATAGTGTGTTTTTAGCATAAACTATCGAATAGTTTTTAAAATATTCGAATGGGCTAGCGAATGGTTTCAAAAAATATTTGATTAGTTCTAACTAAAATTTTTATTAAATACACTTAAATATAATAAGAAGATAATTAACGAATACTTAAAATAAATTATTATACAATTAATAACAGTAAAAAGTACCATTTTATTTATTTTTAGTTTGTGAGTCGTTGGTAAAAACTGATAAATATGGGTTAAAAATTAAAAAGCAGTTCTTTTTTTCCGATGATTAATGATATATTTTCAGTTTTATCGGAATGATTTATTCTATGTGCAACAGAAGTATTCGTAAATACTAAAGTCTTATTTTACACTTAATACCTTGTACACTGTTCTTAGTATAGCATTACCTGTTCTTTGTCATATAAAGGCATAACACCGATAAAAAGGACAGCGCGTTTTAAATTTTTACATTTGTAAAAGTGGTGACAACAATAAATAGTGTTCCTCTTTAAAAAATTATATAAACTATTTTTATTAGTCGGTTAATCATTGAACACTTAGCTTAACAATGTATAGAATATAAATTATAGATTTTAATATTTTCTTCTAAAATTATATTCACAAAAATTTTCTAAAATTATTTTTACTTGCTCAAAAAAATTAAATAAAAAAATAATTTGCTAAAATTCATTTTTTGATTATAAATCATTCTTAATTCTCGAAATAATCATTTTACAACAAAATGTTTCGTAAAAAAAAATATGTCAAGTTAATTTTTTTAAAACATTGGTCTTATGTAAAATTATAGTCAGATTTATAGTTTTGCTGTTTTAATAACACTAACGACTAAATAAGATTGTTTAAAACTGTTTATTCAGGGTACTACGATTATAAACAGGATACAATTAATAATAAAAAAAATTAGTGATGGGCATTTTCAAATATTTTAAAAATTATTCTATTCGAATAGTTTTTATAAATATTTGAATATATGTGTAACTATCGAATATTTTTACTATTTGAATAGTTTTTGAATGACTATCGAATAGTGGACTACTATCGTATAGTTTGATAGTTACTATTTGATAATTCTCATCACTAGTTTTAAGTTGAATAGTTTTAATATTTTTAAAATATTCAATTTTAACCAAAAGTGATCAATTTTTATTATATATTTAGAACTTATTCATTTAGATGATAGCTATTTCTTCAATGTTCAAGTAAATTCTTAGTTTTTATTTATTTTTACCTCTTTTTTTTTTTTTTTTTATTTGTTTATTTATTATTTTAATAACAGTATTTTGTAGTTAAAATTTACTAATTAATTTTTTTATAAAAATTATTTTAAATATTTAAAAAATTAAAAATCAAGAAAGTAAAACAGTTAATTTAAAATTAAAAAAAAAATTTTCTAAATATTTAACTCAAAAAGCCACAAATATAACTATGAAATACTGACACATTAATAAAAAAAACCATATGATACCACCAGTGATCTTATCTTTAAGAGTAATTTTTTTTTTTGTGGAGGTGTCAGTATGTGTTAAGTGTTGATAATGGTAACATTGTTCCCGGAATACTTATCCACAGTATTTTAGTTATATTTTAGACATTTTGAGTTAAATGTTTTTTATATATGTATGTATATATTTATATATATTTTTTTTAAATTAATATTTTTAGTATAATTTTTATTTTAAATAATATAAGCCATAAATGATCAATTTTTATTATATTCATTTTATAATGAGTGTATTGTGATAAATTAAGTAAAATATTAGACCTAATATATACACTTTTACATAACGTCTTTTAATGATTTTGCGTTTACTTTTTTATCAAATAATAACAAATTTGAAATCTAATGTGTTGACAAGGTCTATGTTATATTTGATAAGTTTGTTTAAATATTACGTAAAAACAATAAAGAATGGTGGGCATTGAAACAAGGGATATTGAAAACAATAACAGCAAAAAATCCATTTTCAATTCTGAAAATAGCAGTAAATAATACATGTAACCCCAGCACGAAAATAATAAAACAGTCCATATTAACTTATTTTAATGATTGTTTGTGGGAAAACGGGTTTTTCTCGTTCTGTTTTAGTATATAGATTAACCAAACGAAAATTTTTATATTTTTATAGATATCGTATAAGTGATTGTTAAGCAATTACTTTATATTATTTTATATTATAATATATAAAACATTTATAATAATATTTATATATTTTTTAATTTTTGAAAGTAATGCACTAACTTAAAAAACATTTATTTCTAGAATGCAAAATGTTGATTTTAATCATATGGTATTATCATGGTCACAGTTTTGTAAAGAACCATTACCTCAAAGAAGTTTTACGTTTTGGGAATGGTTTTATGCGGTTATGAAAATAACTAGAGAACATTTAAAAGGACCCTGGACAGATGGGTAAAGTTTTAAATTTTTTTTTTAATCTTTAAAAAATAATCTATGAAGAAAAGTTAGTCATCAGTATTTTTCAAAACATCTTATTGAGATTTTCATATATCCTTTATTTTCTTATAACAACTGCTTAATTATTTAAGTGTTAATGATTTGTTTAAGTAGAATTGATAACACTTATTTGGTCTCATTGATTGAACTTATATCAATGCATTTGGGACAAATGGACTTAAGTAACTTTTTTTATAGGTTTTTTAGCAGAAACAAAGAAAACATTTTTTCTATTTCAAACACCAATAACTTTTTAGAATTTTTTATGTCAAATTTTTTAGTAATAAATTGAGTATATTGTAATTGTGTTTAAGACCAAACAATTTTCAATAAGTTAAATATTTTATTAAACTAATTATAACAATTTTTAAAAGTATTTTTCTAATTTTGGTATCAATGCCTAAAACTATATATTAGGTTGTTGTTATGATAAGAACAGAAGTTTTTCACACCAACTATAGGTTGATAATGTACAATTTTTCAATGAAATAATCAAATTATCACTTTAAACAGCACTAATAAATGCAGTGAAAAAAATATTACTATTAATATAAAAACGATATAGTGCCATATCATAAATCAACAATTTGTATGTGTTTAATGTTGATAACATTGTTCCCAAAATATGTATCCCGATTTTTTAAACAATTTTTTTAATATTTTTTAGTTATACATTTTTTGTTTTAATTTTAAACAACAATCTGGTTTATTATCTACCTAGTTTATAACTGTGAATGTATTATTAATGACTATTAGGTATTTTTACTGAGCTAAATCTTATTATTATAATTATTTGCAAATATCTCAATTATTAATTTTAATTGTATTTTACAAAATATATTATGCACAATTTAAGTCTTCAATTTTTAGCTTCGATGCAAAGCTAAAAAGATATTTATTACTATGATATGTTTTATTTTAGCTTCGATGCAAAACTGAGAAGGTATTGGTTTTACTATATTTTTTTTTTATCAGTTACCACTTTTTCTCAGCTATCACTAAACCAATTTCTTTCAACAATCGTCAAAAGGTCACAAATTGTATCTTGTCAAAGACATTACCCTCAACCAATTGAAAAAATTTTCCTTGTTCCCAATAAATGGGGGAAATTTCCAAAAAAATTACAAATTTAAAAATTGCTAATTTTTGACATTTTTTCAATTATTTTTACTTAAAAATGCCATAACTTTTTGGAAAATGTATGGATCAATATAATTTTTTTTTATAGATGCATGTTGCCTTTACCTATCATTTGTTACATATTTTTTATAAATCTGACCCTTTACCAGCCTAAGGTGGAGTTCAAATCTAAAAAATGCATGAACTTTTTCAACTTAACTTTTGAAATTGTTCCAGAAAGTCTGACACTTTTATATATATTTTAAATTAAAGCTTTTGTAATGTACCTTTATTATGGAAAAAGAAAATTTTCAGATTTAAGTTTGTTTTCATGGTGAAAACTAGCTTCAAAGTTAATAAAAAATAAGATTTTTAACTTTATAATGCTATAATTTTTTGAAAAAAAAATTCATCATTATAATTTTTTTTAAGTAAGTACTATTTATATTCTTCTTTCATATGACATACTTTTTTTTAAAATCTGAACATTTTCCTATATGTGGGGGGGATTAAATTCAAAAAATACATATAGAAAGTAGAACTTTTGAAAGTGTTTTGGAAATACTGACACTTTCATATATATCTTAAATTAAAGATTACATAATTACTTTAATATGATAAAAAAAAAGTTCGGGCTTTATTTTGTCTTCATGGTGATAATGCCTACCAAATACTATTTTTGTATGAAAATTCTCGATTTTATATTTTTAACTTTATAATTTTTTTGAAAAATGTATGGATTAATACGATTTTTTCATGAGAAGTAGTGTTTATATATACATATTTCATTCGACATTTTTTTTTTTAAATAAAACCATTTCCCCCCTTATATATTTATATATTATATATATATTACTTATAAATCATAAAACTTGTAATCAGGATACAAATAAGATATTAGGAGATCATGTAGCTTTTGGAATAATCCATTAATTTTTTAAAATTAAACATTATCTATAGATTTGCATCAAAGCGTTTTTTATCATAGTGATTTTAATGACTGTCAGATATCATTATACTTGATCCAACTATGCCACTTCACCACTTTGCCGCGACCCCCCTATGCTGGGTTTTTTTATACTTGAAGAAATGTACAAATTTTATTTAACTATTTCTTATTGTAAAGTTTTTTAAATCAAACAATATTTACAAAAATATTAATTAGTTTTTTAAAAAATGAATCATTCTGTATATAATAATATATTTAAAATGTTATGAAGATATTAACTAGCAATTGAATAAATTAAATTATTTACAAAAGTTTATCTAAATATAAATTGTTTAAGAAAACAAAAATACTGATACATTTTTAACAAAACTTATCAATGATTTAATACTTACACAAATATTTTACACAAGTAATTTTATTTCTTTGGACACTATCAATTTTATTAAGTTAAATTGTTGGTGTTAGTTCAAGTAATGATAGTTTTAATGAAACAATTTTATACCTTCAATCGAGTTTTAGTGTAAAAAGATTATTTCTATTTCTGTTTTTATCTTAATAACAATGATAGCGTTTGATACCATAAAAAAAAAATTAAATTTTTATAAACTTTTAAAGTAATATAAATATATAATATATATTAATGAAATATTTTAGCTTTGATATGTAAAGTTGAGAAAATATTAATTTTACTATGATCTGTTTTTTTTTGTCATTTTTTCTCAGCTATCACCAAACCAATTTCTTTCAACGATCGTCAAAAGATCACAAATCGTATCTAATCAAAGACATTATCCTCAACCAATAGAAAAAATTTCCCTTGTTCCCCGTAAATGGGAGAAATCTCCAAAAAAATTACAAATTTAAAAATCGCTAATTTTTTACATTTTTTAAATTAGTTTTACTTAAAACTGCCATAACTTTTTCAAAAATGAACAAATCAATATCATTTTTTTTTTTATATAAAATATTAGATATTTATCTATCATTTGGTATATATTTTTTTTTAATCTGACCCTTTACTTTCCCACAGGAAGAGATTCCAAAGGACAACTTTTTTTTACAATATTAAATTATTAGATATTTATTCATAAATTATATTTTTAAATCTAAGAACTACTAATCATGAAATAATTAAGGAAATAGGAGTTGATGTTGCTTTTGTAATTATAAACCAATTTCTTAGAATTAAACAATATCTACAGGTTTGCATCGAAGCGTTTCTTATGCTAGTGATTTTAATCACTGTCAAATATCATCTATACTTGTCCCAACTAGCCCACGTTCATCCTGTGCTGTGACCTTACTGTGCTATTTTTTTTTTTTATCTAAAAATGCAAACAACTTCTAGTTTTGATTATAAGTGTGCATTCATTCTTTAAGAACAAATTTCGTATTCTATTCTACTATTACTTATGCCAAGTACCATTATAAAATTCTCTATTCATGTATTCAGTATAATTATTTATTTACTTGACTTTCGTAGATGATTAATGAAATTTTCAACAGCCAAAATATTCTAATTTTTGTCTGATTTTAAAATAAAATGCTGTATTATGTGGAAATGCAATTATAAATTTCTGTTATTTAAGAACCATTCATTATTTTCAGAGCAATAATGGGATTTATTAGAAAGTCTGATGCTGAAGAAATGCTTACCAGGTATGCTACTGGTACATTTTTGTTACGATTTTCTGATTCAGAACTTGGAGGATTAACTGTAGCATGGGCTGGCTGTGAGTTATTATTTAAATAATGTTAACATAAAAATATGTGAAAATAATTATTATATTAACATCTTTTTGTAATAACAGAATGCTTAGCAAAAAAAATTGTTATGTTTCATTTACAAATAGAGTATAATATTTTCAAAATGTACAGTTAATATTATAATAATAATAATTATAATAAGTTTCAGAATTATCAATATTAATAATTATATTGTTGGTTTGATGCAGAAATTTATTAATGGCTTTTTATTAATTTTTTGTTTTGTTTTTAATGTTATTGAACATATTATAAAAAGTTTTTTTTTTATTATTAAGACAATTTGAAAGTTTGAAATATTATCTTTAAATAAATTAAGATCATATGCCTATTTGTGCATCAAATGTAATATAGACAAATAAAGAAAAATAATTATTATGGTATATTTATTTTTTTAAAAATTCAATAATAATTTAAAAAAAAAGCTGTTAATGAGTTTCTACACTAATTCATCAATATTAAGTGCATAATTATAAACTAAATTAAAAAATTTACATTCATAGATTTGTTAGCTGAAAAAAAGTACTTTTTATAACTTATCTTAATATCATAATAATTTTTTTATTAAAACTGAATAAAATATGCCCTGAATATTTTATCACATTATTTTACAAATCATTTTTGTATGAGATAAAAAAAAATTTTTTCTAGCTAATGAATCTGATGCTTATAGTTTACACCCATTTTCTGCCAAAGATTTATCAATTCGCAACTTAGCTGATAGGTTGTTAGACCTGCCATATCTTACAAAATTATATCCCGACATTGATAAAAATCAAGCTTTTGGGAAATACTATTCACAACCACCAAGTATATTTTTAAATATTTAAATTTTAAAATTTATTTATTTTAAAATTAAAAATGTTTCAAACAATTTTTTTAATTTTAACCTTAGATGTTAGTACTCCTGTTACAAGTAATGGATATTTGAAACCATTACTGGTGACTCATGTCCCTGGATATAATGTGCCTGGAACTAATGGACAAGGAATAAATAGTTATCCAAATACCCCTCAAAATCATATGTTTCATGTCAATAGTCCAGGAAATGGAAGTATCAGAGAAACATCATCTGTACACAGTGAACCAGTCAATAAGTAAGATAATGAATTCATTATTTGACTTTTAAGATTTTTGCTTTTTAAATTAGATTACAACTAATAGATAAGTAGTAATCATATTTTACGTAACACATAGATATTATTATTTATAATATTTCACAAAAATATTATTATTATTATTTATTGTTTACTATTTAAGTTTGAAAGTAAAATCATATATTTATTATATAATAATTTAAAATAGTATTTCAAAATAAGTAAAATTAAAACTATATTAAAAATATTATTAATTTAAAAACTAAAAAACATTAAACTCAAAAGCCACAAAAATCTCAAATACAATTTTGCAAACAATGTTACAATTTTTAATACTAAACACATACTGACACCTTATCTAAAAAAAACCCCTTATATAGCTTTAGTGATCACATCACCTAATAACGTTATCACTAAGAAGTAATATTATCACAGTTAACACATGTTTAATAATGAATTTTTCAGTGGACTAATATCCCAATTAATTAAATTGTTCTTATTTAAAAAACATTAAAAATCAATAAATTGATCAATTTCCTGCTGCTTAATATCATTTATTAACACATAATTACTCCATTAAACCATAAAATGAATTAATAATGTAAATAAGAAAAAGATAATAAGTCACTAGGGGTATGTAAAGGATTTTTTTCTGGTCAGTGTGTCATTATAAGTGTAGTATTATAATGGTAACACTTTCATGTGATTTTTGTAGCTTTAAATTAAATAGTTTTAATATTTTTCAGTTTTAAACTAATATTTTTAAAATACTTAATTCTAACCAAAAGTGATCAGTTTTTATTATATATTTATAACTTAATAATTTAGGTAATGGCTATTTCTTCAATGTTCAAGTAAATTCTTAAAAATACTCTTAAAAATTTAAATTAAAAAAATTTTCTCCAATCTTTATATTGGTAATTAAAATTTAAGTAATGATTTAACAATATTATAGATATTAATTTTTTTATAACTGATCTAGAGCTTCAGCATCTAGGCCATTAACTTTTAAAAGGATTAAAGATGATCTGATGTTCTTTGGTCCTCCATATGTATTTAGTATTCAATTAGTATATGTTTCACTGAGTGAAAGGTGTTGCAACTTATGCAATTTGGAAACTATTCTTATATTGGAGTTTTCTATTTAGAGTCTGTTTATAAAAGTTTCTTCTTTTCTTGTAATATTTTTGAGTTTGTACCATCTCATAATGGATCCTTTAATTTCATTAAGTTTGATGCTCAAATTCCACCACTTATTCTATTCTTATTAGTACATCCTATTACTTATGTAGAGCTGATGGAATCACTGTTAATTATGAACTGATATTCTGCTTAGTTGATGCAATCTGCAGCTTATTTTGCTAGTTGATCCGCCTGCTCATTGTTTGTATACCACAAATCAATTTAATATCAATGCCTTCTAGTCTGAATGTTGTTGTTTTATTCTGAATTATCTATGCTATGTAGTGTTTAGGTTATATATGTTATTTGAGACTATTGTGGCATCGAATAATTCACTTATCACTTGTGTGTTTATTTTGGTATAAGAAGTAATGTCTATTGTATATATATAACAATGAGTGGGCAGACTGTGATACTTCTATGTTTTTTGTTATTACTGCTATTCCTACTCCTTCGTTGTGTTTGGTTGTATCTCTATAGATTTTTAGATAATGTGAGTATTGTTCTATTACATTGTTGAATCAGTTTTTGTAAATCCTTCTATTTGTTTCTTTTGTGTGAAATGTAGCTATTTCAGTATTGTTATTAAGTTGTATCGTCCATTGGACTTTTACTGGTAGTTCTCTATTAATTATAACATTAGACTTTATTCAGTTGTTAATATTGTTAGATTTTTGTATGGTATAATATTTACTATATGGTAGCTTCTTTTAATTTTACCTGCATTTATGTAATTTCTAGTGTTCTTTCTTCAAGTAATAATTCCCCAACTAAATTGAGAATGGTGACTACAGAACTTTAGTGAAATAACCCAAAAGCTAATATAAAAAGGTAAAATATAAAAAAGTATATACAGGTTTATCTACCATGAAATACTTAATTAATCAAAAAATAAAAATAACATTAATTTTTTTTTCATTTCTTTCTTTTAGTTCAATGTTACTCTTAATTTTTCAATTATAAAGCTTTTTTTATGTTCATATATTATACTGCATAATAGTAATAACTTTAATCTTTCAAATGGCAACATAATTAAATGTAAAGGGTAACCCTTTTCCTCTTAATCCTTCTAATTCCCTAACTTTATTACTATAAACATATATTGTGATCATTTTTTATACAAATAAATGAATATATAAATAGTTTTATTTCATTGGATTTAATTGGGCAATGAAAATTACTATCACCAATAGCCTACTGACTATTGACAAAAAAAAAAATAATTAAGATAAATTTGTTTATAATGCATACATATATTTTTTGAAAAGTGACACAAATTACATTTAAAAAATTTGGAAGTATCTAATACAATTAGACAACTACTGATGACAATTTTTTTTATATTATGAAAGTTCTTTTAAATATATGGTTATTACACTTTAAAATTTGCATATTTATTTTATAAGTAGAAAGAATTAGTCCTTGTGATTACTGAAGCGTTCTTACTAATATTGATTAAACTAATAAGTATTAAATTTTTGCAATAAATTGACTGATGATAAATTGCTTATCATTCATTGTATTTAAGCTTTTGGGTTAATTTTTATAATCATCAGCTATACTATCTGTATAAGATGGGGCTATTTTGTTATATTACTCAGTAATTATGTAAGAATAAAGTCGCTGTCAAGGATAACCCTTGCAGGACTCCATTAGCTTTAGATGAATGATTGTGACAATGTTTTGTTGATTTTAACTCTGGATGTTCATTTATTGGGTTGTTGGTAATTATTTTAAATATTTTACCGTGTAATAGTATATTGGACAGTTGTTGAATCATTCTGTCTATACATAGTCATATACTTTGCTAATGTCTACACTGATCAGACCTACTATTTGCTAAAAGTTTTTCTACTTCATTCAGGTTTTTTAGTAGTGTTTGTTGATTTGAATTTTCTGAAGCTGGTTTTGTTCCAGTGTAAATATTTTGTTTTTTTTTTTGGAAGTATCAAATAAGTCTATTGACAATTTTTCTAAAGATTTTTGTACGTGCAATTAAGTAGAGTAATTGAGCCAAAATTTTTCTTTTTGAATTTACTTTTGTTTATATACATACATTATTATTATTATTATTATTATTATTTACTCAATTTAACATCCTCTCAGAATGAAAAAACCTACATAATGCAACTCAATAAAATCGATTCCCAGTATCTACTTACCAGTGTGTATTTGTTTTAGCTATTGGGATTATAGTTCTAATTTTTCATGTTTCTGAAATTTCGTCTTTTTTCCAAATTGAATATTAATATTTGTTATCAATTAGTATTTTATTAGATATTTCTCTTTACAACAGTAATATTGTGTTACAAGATCCTTTCAACTTAATAATCGTTATACATTATTAATATTAGTACAATTAATAAAATAATTAAATGATTGAATTTAGAAAGAGTAAAGTTAACTTACTTTCTTTGTTTTGAGTTAGATTTGGGTATTAAAAAAAAGTAAAAACGTAAAACAATACTTTATAAAATGTGTGTGCTAATTATTTAAAGTATATTGTACTAATTTGAATAAATTTAATTATTTATCTTTTTTTTAAAAAGTCTTTTTAGCACAGATATATAACTGTTAATGCACTTGGCAACTTATTTTCTTTAGTGCAACTTTAGCCCACACTGATTTTATTGCTATTTATTATTATTTATGTAAAATTTGCTTGTAAAATGAATACTTATAATTTCATTGATATAATTCATGAAAGTAATTATTTTAATTTTGCTTTAACTCTACAGTACATCTGAAAAGTACCGTTCAAGGTCGTTTTTTTCAGCTGCCATCCTGTGACGGGGTTTTGAAATGTAAGCGCCTATACTATGATCATAAGCACTACATGGACTATGTATCCATTAAAAATTTGAACATTTACACTTTTATTTATTATTTATAATTTTTTTTTATTCTTATTCTAGATAAAATATATCTATTATTCTTATAAAATTTTCCCTAGTACATTATAAATATTTCTTAAATTCACTTTAAATAATATAAATATATGATTATAAACATAGGTTTTATCATTAAATTTAATCCAATGTGAGGTGAATTATATTAGATATTTAAAGCTAGGCAAATAATTGATAAATAATAAGTAAAAAATAATTCTTATGTTAAAATTACTTAAGGTTCAAAAAAAATAAAATTGATAAGCAGGATTATTTTTAAAATAATGTGTCATTTTTAAGCTCTAATATGTTTACAATTATATTATATGTTGAAATATTAGACTTTAAAAGATTAAATGTTAAACATAATTGTATTATTAAATTTTTATATATTAATTAATGGGTGAGTGTGTGTGTGTTTGTTTGTATTTACATGTGTGTATGCAGGGCATTTACAAAAACTTATTTTTATTACATAAAACCATTTGTTTATAGTAATAATTCAATTGCAACTTGCTCAATATTAATATTATTATGTTGAATACATTAATACATTAATACTTAATGTAATTTATTTTAAGTAAAAAAATTGAGCTGAGTTATAAATTCTTAAAAATTTATAGTCAATATAATGTTAAGCACCAAAAGTAAAAAAAAAAACAGTGATCAAAATAATTAAGTTCTTATATTATCCTTTATATATGTTAAATCTTTAATTTAGTTTCAAGTAACAATGCTTCATGGAATATATAAGTTTAAAATTAACTTAATACTGTTCAGCATATTAATGATTACTAAGTCTACATATTTCACATTTATCTATGAGAAAATTAATATTTTGATATTATAAATACTTATAATTATTTATTTTAAACATTCATTTAATGTATTTCTAGATAATTTTTTATAAAATACTAAAGCTTTTTAATAATGATTAAACTTACTAATGTGGTGTCAATTACTTTCTGTAATGTATATATATATTATACATTAATCTAACTAATCCCTTACAAGACTCACAAATGTGAATCTATATATATAGAGTGATTGGTTTATTATAAACCACCCGATTACTCTCAAATGAATACAATATTGAAAAAAAAAATTTAGTTATGTATATATTTTTTTGTTTATTAGGTAATAATTTATTTTAGAATCATTCCTTATAATTTAAAGAGATATCAACTTTATTTTTTTTAATAGTAGGATTCATATTTATCTAGTTTATAAAATAACAACTTTTGGACCAGTATTTCAGAAGTTATTAACAATTTAAAGTAATGACTGGAAATGAGAAGTGGGTGCTGCATTTTATCACTTGTCATTTCCTGCCCATACTCTTGGTCTTACCTAGATATAAAAATTAAAATAACTTCCAAAATAATAGTTTATAAGTTTTTATTAACCAGTCATTTTCGTAATTAGATTATTTCTTATTTTATAAGATAGTTAAATATGTTAGTTACTGTTAGAAAAACAAAAAAAAACTGAGTTAAGTTATATGAGATGATTCTAAAAAGTAATTATTATCTGAAAATCATATATTTGGTACACTAAAAAAGAGTAAAATTAAACTGTTCATCTTTTATGTATGTGTATTTATACATTAAATCTTATCATTTTTATGTGATTTTGGCTTAAAAGAAAAAAAATGTTTTGCTTATTTAGTATGATGACATTTGGAAATGACTCCCTAGAAATGGATTTCCCATCAAACTTAAATGACATTTCGCATGTGGATGAAGCATTCTTTTAGTAAAAATAAATAAAAAAGCAAGTTGATTGTGTTGTACTTAAAATTAGTTGAAACTTTTAATGTAATAATAATTTATTAGTGCATACATTTTATTGCTTGTGTTAGTGTTAAATTTTTACTATCTTATATTACATTTTTTCTTTTTTATATCATTTCAGTTTTTAATGTTTGATGAATGTATATTCAGTGACCTATATTTTTATCAGAGTTTTAATTTGAAGCTCTTTTATGATATTTTTTACTATCATCGTAGATATATTTTTTTTACAGTTAACATGCATTTATTATAATTTACTATTATTATTTTATACTAAAAATTTTTGTGACTATTAAGTTTTTATGGTGCCTAGTTGAAAAAATGCTTCTTTTTGCTATTACTATTATTCTTATTGTTTGATATTTTGAATTAATTAAGATGTTATTATTATGTATTGCTTTTGTAAAATTTTTATTTAATATTTTGTACTTCAATATTTCGACTTAATGTCAATTATTTATTGAAATTTTAGTATACAAATAACTCATTGTCCCTTATTTAATCTTTGTATCTAAATAATACTCAATTAGTGTTTTAATGGGTAATGCATATTTATATAGTGATATTTGTATCATTTTAAATGTATAAGATTGTGCTAATATGAATTATTATACAATATATTATATTAATAATATATTTGAAATTGTTTTAGTAGTTACTCAAATTAATTCATTGTAGTTGATTTAATTAATTAAAATAAATTATAAAAGTGAGTATTTTTATTTTATGTTAACCCACAATTTGAGTTAAAACAATTATTATAATAATAAAAAATATTTGCAAGGTTATATTTTTTCAATATACATTTTTATTATTTAGTTAAACATTTATTGTGATTATTTTTAAATGTTTTATTATTTTACATTATTATTAAAAATAACAATGTCTTTTTGTATAAAGGAAAACGAATGGTACACTACAGTTCTACAATTTCAATTTTTATATTATTATTAATGGTAAGATATATAAAAACAAATTTAATTGAATTAATATTAAATAGAACATTACTTAGAATAATGATTACTATTTAACTTAATGTTTATCGAAATACTATAAAAGCATAACTGATTACTATAAAATCTATATTAATGTTTTATGATAAAATTACTTAACATTATTAATATAAGTTGAAAAAAGAAATGTTGTGACCTTTGGATTTACACAGAGTACTGTTGTGGACCAATCGGTATTTCCTTTTTTATTATTGAATTTTTAGTGTTTGTTATACTTTCATTAGAGTTGATATAGCATAATTTAAAGTTATTTACAATGTATAATATTTTGCGTAATTGACAGAACTGCCTAAGTTTTTAAATTTTAATTAAAAAATAAATTAAAAAATTATTCTTTAACTGTTTTAATTTATTTATTTGCCTTCGTCTAATAGTTTCCAACTCAATGTCAATGTGTACTGCAATTTCAAGATTTTTAAACGCTTCTTAGAAATATTTTTTTTATTTACATGTCAAACTATTAAAATTTCTATGATCTGAGAAGTAGTTTTCTTCTAAATATGTCTTTATAATATAATTTATGTAAACAGATTATTAACTCGCATAATATCTTTAAAAGTAAAAGAATAATTTTTTTTTTCAAATTTTATAATGTCCTACTCTATTATTGTCATTTTCTTAGTGCCTATCCCAAATTTAAGAGTCGGCTTTACCTTACCGTTTGGCACGATTTTTGCTTCGACTTTTAACCTGACGTAAATTCATTATGGCTGAGGGATCCAATAAGGACTAAGATGTGTGTTAATGCAACAACATATGATCACTCATCTGAGATTTAAGATGAAACGGTACAGCTGAACAGCAGTCACACTATGCCTTACGTATCTTGCGCAATATAATTTTCAACAAAAAATTGTCTTATATTTTCTTCTATATTGTGTCAACTTTAGTTTTTTAATGGGAACATATATGTTAAACTATCTTGTTATTAAGAAAATAATCGGTTAACAACTTGTGATCTAGTATTTTAATAGTAATTAGCTAACACTTTAGAATTAAGATAGGTATTGAGCGCACGTCTGTTTATTTTTATTTCTAGGTATTTATTAACCGCATTACTCCCCTCGTTAGGGATTAAATAGAAAAATATATTTTATACTTTTAAATGAGTTCGTCATAATTAAACATACCCTAAAGAGTACTTAGCCTAGCCTGGATTAACAAATGTGATCTAAAAACATAATATTATTATTAATAGTTATATACATAATACAAGATAGTAAATTTGATAGAATTCTTTATTTTATTCATGTTAAGTATTCGAGTACAAATTTTTGAATACTTGTAAAATACTTTTCATAAATATTGTAAAAAAAAAAGTATCAGTTGTAAGCAACTACCATTATACTATTTATATCATTTCTATGGAAACAACTTAATAACCATCCGTGTGAATTAAATCTGTATAGATTAAATACACATAAATATTAGTGATGGGAAATATCGAATAGTAATTATCGAACTATTCAATAGTTGTCCACTATTCGAATAGTAATAATATTCGATAGTCTATTCGACTAGTTTTTAAAACTATTTGATAGTCTGTGCTAAAAATAAACTATTCGGTTGTATAAAAACAATTCGAATAGTTTGCAAGCTCAACTAATGTAAATAAGCCTCTTTTTAAAGGACCCCGAGGAGGGTCTACCCTGGGCCGAGACAAAGCCGGAGCACCAGTGATTTTGTACCTTATCCTATGGGGAAAGGTTATGAAGAATAGTAATAATTTAAAATAATAATAATTAAAATTTATTAAGTATTATGATTTAATTTTCTAATTATCATAACAAAATACAATTTATTGAAAAATTAAAACATGCTAATAAAGAACCCTTATAATGAACCCTTGAAACACCAATGATTCACTTAGGCTATACGAGTGCTAAAATAACAATCCAATATCACGGACGTAGGACCATCTTGTACGATGTGGTATTGTTTAATTTAGGATTTCAAACACATTTTTATAATGTTGGCAGTGTTTTACACAGACACACTTACGACTATACAAAATCGGTCGGTGACCTACTGCCACCGTCCAATAAGAACAATCATGCCCAATAACAAGGACCCCGAGATGAGGTGCAATGGCATACCCTAGGATTTTTCGTGTCACTAACGCAAATCATACAATCCTCAAAAACTACTAAATCTATGCGTTTGACTTTTTTATCAACGTGAAAACCACAAGCGTTTATGCGGAGGGACATGTAGTCAGTTTTGTACAGTCAACGGATTAAGTGGATTAAGTAAAATGTGTCTGTTTATTTATATGAGCTTTCCAAATTCTTAATAATAAAGTTGTTAATGTTTTTCTACAGTATTTTGTTACTGGTTATAACCGTTATTTGTCCATGTTTATATAATACATTGTAATGTAGGATAACGTTTTATAAAATAAATAGTTGCTATTACTATCATTTACTTTTACACAAATATTAAAAATTCTTTTCGTCAGAAATTAATTTAAGCATATATTTTTCGCATACCGATTCACTTATACGTGTGGACCACTAAAACACACAATCCAATATCACGGACATAAAGTAACAATAATTTACATACACAAATATTTTACTTACTATTTATGAACATATTCTAATTTAAATTTGAGTGTAAAAAACACGACATTCTTATTAAATTTTTACAAAGTTAACAAAAAATATGTCATTGGGAACAATTGTGGACAGAAAAGTCACACATAGTCTTATTTTTTAGTAGATATTAAAGCGTGTAAATACTACATATATCTTAGATTTTACATAATACCAATGTAGTGTAAAACATTTTTTATTAAATTGTTAATGGGTATTTTTATTTATTACCCACTTTAGCATGGTATTTTTATTTAGTTTCATACATCATCAGATAAACTAATAAATGTAATTTTTACATGAAAATCGATAAAACATATAATAATAGTCTTATTACGTGTGTTTACTATATTGGTTAAATAACTACTGTCACTTACATAACAAAATATGTATACAGCTAGGAGACCCTATGTTTTTTACCCATGGATCGTCTTCGTCATCACAACAATCTTTCAAGCGTAGACCACAGCAATAACATTTTTGTCCATTACCTAAAAACAATATACACTTATACATAATGTAATTGATTAACTGTACGAATCGTAAAATTACATTCAATTTGACAATACCCGAGTAGCAATTCGAGTTTATACTGGGTTCATTTAATATAGTAACAACGGTGCTGAACTCAGTTCAAAACCCGTTCACAGCACGGTTCAAAATGAGATTTGAATACGGATTTTAACATGGGGTGAACCGAGTTCTACAAAAGTTCAGAAAGAGTTCAAAGACCGTCCCTCGGTTCAACTATAAAACCCTCGATAACAGTTCAATAATCGTTCATTAGTTCAATAAAAGCAAGCTCTACGACGATTCATTAAGCGTTCATTAGTTCATTAGCAGTTACGGTATTTTAAATTAAATGTATAGGTTTTGTAAATATTCAAACATTTTATAATTTTAAAATAATAAATTGTATTACTATATACACAATGTATAAAATAAAATAAAATATATTATATGTAAATATAAAATAAAATAGTTAACCTTCGAATTTTAGGTTTATTTTATATTAAATGATAATTAGTAAACAATCCATTCATACAATTTGATAATAATTAATATAAATTAATAACAATAGTTAATTTTAAATAAAAATAATGATGTTAGCAATGTCAGCAATTTATTTACTGTAACTCAGTTTGATTTATTGTTGTACAATATATACCAAAAAAATCCAATAAAAATATTTTATCATAATAAATTAATCACTAAGGTGTTATAGAGTTTAGACAAGAAATATATAGTTAATATTAGTACAGTATTAGTAAATTGTGAAATTGCAATAGTTGATATAACAAAAAATATTACTGTGGTTATAAAAACAATTAGTAATTTTAATTTAATTTCCATGAAATTGAATAAAAGAAAATCATTGCCATAAGTACAACAAAAGAAGTAAAACNTTTAAATTGTTTTATACATAAATAGCTGACCCGGCCACGTTTGGGTGTGGCTTGATTAATATAATATATTATTATATAATATTATATTAATATATTATTTTCAAATATGTAGCATAACCATGCAAATACTTATAAAATTTTTGAATCTGAGTTATCGGAGATAATCATTGAACACAATTTTTCAATGATGAACGACCAAAAAAATGTTTGTTGATATTATTGTTTATTTAACTGAAACTCGAACATTTTTAAAAAATGAATTAGTATTAAAGGTTGTTTTTTTTTTCCAAACAGTTATATAGATAATAATATTTAATTGAGTACTATTTGGTGTACAATATTTTTAGTTAATTTGTTTTTAGTTAATATAAACAAATTTGACGGTTTACCAACCCGTGAACATGCAACATAAAGTTGACCGTGGGAGAAGCATGGATTTTCTAAATCTAAACCGCAAACGGACATTGTCTGGCCTTGAGACTTGTTAATGGTTATTGCGTATGCTAATCGAACAGGAAATTGAAGCCTTTTGAATGGTAATGTGGTATCTGACGGAATCATTGGGATACGTGGCAATAGAACAATTTCCCCTTTAAATCTTCCTGTTAAAATGGTTGCTTCAATAATATTTCCGGTAATTTTTTTGATGACCAAACGTGTACCATTGCATAGTCTGGGTGGATTCAAATTACGTAATAAAATAATCGGTGATCCAATTTTTAACTGTAGATTGTGTGGTGGCATTCCTGGTATATCCAGAGAGTTTAAAAATTCTGTTGGGTATTGTACAGCTTCGTCTTCATCAACAACACTATCGATCGACTTAAACGATACCATATCACCCGGTATCAACTGCTGTATGTGGAAGTTAATTTCATCGACATCGACATTTCTTGCGGCTAAGATTGCACGCTCACTAAGCCAATCGTGGTTTGTGTAATTATTCAGTATAGCCGGGAAAACCTTTTCGATCAATTCTGATTTTGTCTCGACAAATGTGCAGAAGTTATCTGGCAATTTAATGCATTGTGTATTTGGATGCAATGTTATTCTACCATTGCCAATGTCCAGCAATTGCTCAGAAAATATTTGTGCTGATGAGTCGTTTTGCAATTGCACACGCATGTTAATGGTCAATCGAACTGTTTCGACATTTTGCCATAAAAATGACTGTTTTAAACACGCATTAATTTCATCGGCAAAAGTAGAGCGTGGAATAACTGGCAATGTCTGTCGGAAATCACCAGACAATAGTAAAACAGCACCACCGAATAGTTTGTCATTGCCATTAAAATCTTGTAAAGTTCTATGCAATGCTTCCAATGCATGTTTGTGGGCC